ACCTCATACATGAGGTGTAACAATTATATTACACATCAAATGCTTAAAGCCCACGTCCACTAAAGGACGTGGTAAAGGAAAGGAAAAGTTAACAAAAGTGGTGATGGTCCCTAAGGACCATAATACTTATATGAACCATCACTTATTAAAAGTTTCTTTTCTTCTTGTTTTTTTTTTTTGAAAGTTTAGGATTGTTACATCACCCCTCCTGGGACCCTGCGTAGGTGGGACCAGCACCGGGTTACGGCCCTTTTTTATGGGTATGCATTTGAATTTCATTTAGAAACATATAAAATTTAAATTGCTTAATAGATATACTATTCTAGTAACTTATGAAGAGTCTTCAGCTTTTTGCCTGTTGATTATGTTAAGTTGAATCCAGTTGAACTCTAAAGACCATGATATCTATGCATGACTTGACTTGGGAGTTCTGGTAGCTTAAGGTACTTGCAGGAGGACTGAGAGGTGGCAAGCTCAAAACTTAGTAAACACATAAGGGACATGCCTCATTGAAATTTGCGTTAAGAGCATATTAAAGAGAAATCAATTGTTCAATTTGTTCAATGTCCCTTTGAACTGTTCCATTTTCGGGCCATTGACCTTATTCGGTGTGGGATTTTTGAGGGCCCTGGAGATATATGGTTGGGACTCAAGCCTCTAAAAACTTGTGAGAGGCATATTTACAACATTTTTTCATATATAGGTTGCTTGCGCATTTTCTCCCTGGTGATTACATTCATAAATTTGCTTTCTTCAATACGTTATGCATTGAGGCACCTAGCATTTATAGATTGCTTATTTGATTACAATATCTCATAACCTGTGAAGAACCTTCAGCTTTGTCTGTTGGTTATTTATGTAATCAAGCGGAAAGCTCTATGGCACAACCTTATTTTCATTGACCTTTATGGCAAGCTGTATGAACCTTAACATCTTGTAGTGCATACAATATATGGTACATTGTCATTACTCATTAGAACAAAACTCAAAAGGCCTATAGAAGCGAGGATACGTAAATCTCCCTAAAATTTTCATCTTTTGTTACCTTAAAAGTACCCAGGAGGCATAAACATGAAAGCATACCACCATATAAAGCTTTCCTTCTTTGTTCTTTAGTCCATCTGTGTATGCAAGACGAAGGGAGCTCACTCTGCGCGTGTAATGAATGGTGCAGGAAAGCTCAGCAGACAGATGCTGGACAATTGACAAGAAGCCTTCTCCTTGCGCCCCAAGCAACTGTCAACGTGAAACCCAACCTTCAGATTGTGGCTGATGATGTCAAATGTTCTCATGGAGCTGCAATAAGTGACCTCGAAGATGACCAGCTCTTCTATTTCAGGGCTCGAGGGGTGGACCTACAAACAGCTAGGAATGCTCTCGTTTTCTCCTTCGGTGCCGAGGTTATGGAGCGTCTCCCTCACAAAGACCTCCGCAAGAAGGTAGAAAGCGATGTCAAAGGCTTGCTTGCAGCTAAAGGAGCTTTCCAATGAAACCTCTTGTTTACTACCACTTCAAACCATTATGTCAAATTCATATTCAACGTCAGAGTATTGTTTGAATTTGTTGTGCGTTAAGCTTTCCAACCTTCTCTTTCTTTCTTTGATTTAGTGAGCCTACTGAAGGGTGCATCTATCCTTCTTTATTTTGTGCATGCTAACACCTAAGAAAGGGATGATAAAGGTTAGAATAACTCAAAAAACTTTAGGGTTTGTATTCGGGTTGTATTTGTACTGCAGTAGCAACCTTTTCTATTCTTAAGTACACTTTAGGAGCATGAATAAAAGGAAAAAAGGAAAAATATTCTGAAGCTCAACTTTAATCAAAAGACAAAAAAAGAAAAAATCTGAGGTTCCACCCAGTGTTCTGTGTCTTGGCGGATTCCACTTGGACTCGTTGGAGTAACTCAGCCCCACCCCAGTGGTGAGGCCATTTTGGGGTGAGTTAGGTGTCCAACTCGCCCCCCCAAAAAAGAACCCCTAAAAAAATTTAAAAAATATTAAAAAAATCTACAAAAACTAAAAAATGAATGATAAGTTACTTAGAAATCATTTTTTTAGATATTTTTATAGTTTTTAGTATGATTTGGGATCTTTCATATTTTTTTCCTTTTTAAAGTTTTTCTGAAATATTAATGTTATAAATAAAAAATTTAAATTTGTCCATATTTTATAGTTTTTTTCATCTTCTTTTATCTTCTAATGATTTCTATTAACTCTAAATATAATTGAATGATTTTTGGTTATTTTTTAGAAACTTTTCCCTTTTTTAAATTTTTTTCACTGCATTGCTTGGCTTGGCCAAGGGCTGAGTACCTTGGCCGAGTTGAGTTTCAGAACACTGGTTCCACCATATATAAGTGTAAGCTTTTAGCTGTTAACTAATTACATTAGCTTTTAAAGCAATGCCATTGCTGCATAATGTTTGACTGTCTTCTTTTTCTCTGTCAATTTAAGGTGATGATAACTTTGGCTCACCGAGTTCTCTTGATTCTCTGAGCTCCATTGACCATATGAATAATCACTAAAGCAGTTTCTAAGAGTAACATCCAAATTAACAGCCTGGCTCAAACAGCACTAAGCAAACAAAATACATCATAAAACACTGAGAAAAGTAGCTTTTGACTATTGCTGGCTCTCCCAACATAGGTTATATTCAGTGCAACTTCAGCCCAAGCCATGTAGAGTTCATTTGAGCTTTCTAACGCCACGATTGATTGTGTGGTTAACACATAATAGGAATATGGTTATGCTACAAATTTTTCAATGATGCATCTGTCCACTTTGAAGTTTGTTGGGACACAACATAATAAGAATGAACTAAACAGCTTGTCTCATGCCCAATGCATATGTCGCAACATGATTCCTGTAATGGTATATACATCATATCACCCACCTCCATTTAACTAATCATCTACAGCCCCCTGCAAGCAATATTCCAATCATGCTATTGAGAAGCTATTCACAGTCAGACAACTGGATCAACATGTGTAAGAAATATAGCAATCGGTAAAGATTCATGGCAATCTTGTACATGCATGGTACAGGTTTACTTCATGCATATGTGTCATTTAATGACTATATGGGAGTTTGGCGTACGTTTGGTAAGTGGTTCAGATTTTTAGGAACTAACATTTTTTTATTACTACCGATATTATTGGCTTTATTGGATAATAAAGAAGGCAGGATAGAAGACAAGGAGATTCTCACTTCGAATAAGGAGAGAGAGCAGAGGGAGAATTGTAGAGAAGAAAGCATAGACAAGGTGAGTCCGGACAATTACTTTGTGCTATTTTTGAGCCATTTTCTTGAGGAGGTTTCTCGGCACATAGAGAAGGAGATTGAAGGTGTGCAAAATAGAAGGGTAATCAGTGGGAGAAGAACGGAAGCAGTAAAGGCAGTGCAAAGAGCAATTTATATTTTAGATTTGTGGTATGTGTTTCTTCTCTTTTCTCTTTTCTCTTTTATTTTTCTAGATAATGTGTTCATTTTGTTTTTTTTGTTTTTTTTGTTTTTGAGGAAAGGTTAACTAATCTTCATTTTGTTTTTTGATATATATAATTTCAAAATACATACCCATTTCCTCTAGGATTGAAGAGGTATCTCTCTCTCTCTCTCTCCATATATATATAGAGGCAGCATAAAACTTTGCCACATCTTTTCATAAATTCTGAATCGATGTTATGCTCGGTTGCGGTGATAAGTATGCAAGGGTTCCCGTGCCATTTTGGAAGAGCACGGGTAAAGATATAGATATAGATATATAGATAGACAGGGAGGGAGGTAGGAGGCCAGCCATACACATAACTTAATGTCTTTCTTGTATCAAGTAATTACCCAAGAATATTGTCTTTCACTATCAATGTGTCTTAATGTTTTCGTAGTCCAGCATATACTTACCCGATTCGCCTATGAGGGTAGCGATTCCATTTCGGAATCTCGATTCGGCATCTCCCCGGGCGAAAGTCGATTCTAAAAGAAAGGAATCATGTTTCCATTTTTTGAGAAACGCGATTTCACCTAGTTTAGGAATCTCGATTCCTGGATTGTTGGAATCAAGATTCGATATCGAGGATTTTATAATTCTTAGCTATAAAAGAATGTGATTCCGCTTGTGAGAAATGTTGATTCCAAATTTTTTGGAATTGTGAATCCATGTTATTTGGAATCAAGTTTCTATATTGCAGGCCTTGCGATTCCTTGCTACACAACAATGTCATTCTACTTATGCTAAACGTTGATTAAAAGTATTAAGGAATTACGAATCCATGTTGTCAGGAAGCAATGTGAGCATAGGGAGAACAGAAACCGTTCGATGTGTGCTCAATCATGAGTGAGCGCGACATGTATGAGAGCGTGAGAGAATTTGAAGTTGTTGCACACGGTAATAAAATCAAAATTTAAAATATGAGTAATATGTGAGCATAGGGAGAGAGAAGAAACCCTTCGATGTGTGCTCAATCATGAGTGAGCGCGACATGTATGAGAGCGTGAGAGCATTTGAAGTTGTTGCGCACACCAATAAAATCAAAATTTAAAATATAAGTAATATGTTAAATTTTTTATTTTCTTATTTACTAATTTCCACCTTTTATTCCATGTTACTTTTTAAGAACTCTTACCAAGAATAAATAATACTAAAAAAATATGTTACTTCAAATTTAATAATGTTTGGTAAATGGTGTGGGTACTAAACTACTAATGTAATAGTGTTTAATATATGATCGGCATCGTCATTTCTTCAAGTTGAATAAGAGGATAAAAATGCTTTCTTTAAGTAAAATAAGAAGATAATAAAGATATGAGCGAAGTGCCCTGTGTGGTGTTTTAGGTTAAATTAATCATTAAATATCAGAGAAATTGACTAAAAATTGAATAACTCAATTTACAAAAGTTAAAAGACTCAAAACTACATTTAACACAGAAGAATTACTATGTCATGTACTTATTTTATAATTCAAGGAAAGGAGATAAAGGGAGCTTGCCCTCGTTCTCACTCCTTGTATGCCGTAGACTAACTCCAGACCTTGTAAGCATAATAGGGTTATCGGTAGACCGAGTCCATTGTATGGGATTGTCCACAAAGAAATCATAAAGGTTGACAGTAGTACTTGGAGTCTTGCACTGAGTATATACAGACCAAAATTTGATCTTGTAGTAATGGGTAAATTTATATATTTTTTGAATGCTTCTCTCATATACCGGAGGGAATTGGTTCGACATTCTCGATTCCAATATGGGGAGAATCACGATTCCGGAATGGTGAGAATGTTGATTCCAAGTTGATAGGGACAACGATTCTAGAATTTTAGGAATCACGATTCCTTATTTATAGGAATTACGATTTCAACAACCACCGAAACAAGTGTGGTCATGTGTGATTCCATGTAGGTATGAAACGTAATTCCAACATGAAAGGACATCGATTCTTGCAAATAGGAAATATGATTCCTAATTGTTTGAATCGCGATTCCGAAATATTGAGAATCATTTTTCTTAAATCCGAATTGTATGGACAACGATTCCTAGATTCCAAAACTTCTGATACATGCGATTCTGATTCCAGAAATGATTCGGAATCGCAGACGTTTCCAAGTGAGCTTTGACATATTTACTCAAAAAGATGACTTCCAATTTTCTTCCAATTTGTTATTGAAGAAGACAAGATACTTTCTCTTTGCTTTGATCAAGAAAATGGAGTTGATTCAATGTGATACAGCTTGCTATATATCTCTCACAGTTATCAATATGAAAGAAATATACTCTGAGGAAGGCCTAAAGCTAGCCATGCTATGGAGGCAAGCCTCTTTATCTCTTTTTATTGATTATGTTGTTTATTTGTTCAATTACTCTCTCTCTCTCTCTCTCTCTCTCTCTCTCTCTCTCTCTCTCTCTCTTCGTTACGTTACGTTACGTTACGTTACGTTACGTTACGTTACGTTACGTTTACGTTTAACGTTTACGT